TACACCACACATCCACACACTCCCTACCCTCCTCCACCATCACCAACACACATCAACACTTACCCACCGCATGCACCAACTGCCACCTTCCACGCAAGTGGGAAGTGTGCATCTCGACTCGGTTCCCACGCGGCTTCGGCTGCACGGGTGATTTGAGTCCGAGACTATCCCGACACTTCAAGTGTCGTGGATAGGAAGGTTGCTGCTTGATGCCCGCTCTCGGTTCACGCAGTTCTTCACGTTGTGTGTGTGTGCTGTGTGGAGTGGCGGACTGGTGGGCTGGGAACTGGCTGAAGCAGCACCTTCCACGGCCCTCTCACGCAAGTGAGAGACACGCCGTTCAACCCCCGTTGTGTGAAATCCAGGTGTTTGTGTGTGTATGGGGGGCCAGGTCGTGCTGTGGCGCGCGCAGTCACGGTCAGTCGACCGTGGCAGCCACCGCGCCCATCCACCACTCCAGTTTGCCGACCGGCTCGGACGGCGGCTGGGGTGTGGGAATGGGAAGGGAGAGTGAGGTCGACGACTCAGCGCACTTTTTCTTCACTATAATCAATCTGACGCGCTTGAAGCTATCACGGTGCGCTAAAAGCCGTGGCTTGGAAAGTTGCCAACTGACGGGGTACCTTGGACCTCCTCCTTAACGGGAGGCGGTCTGAGAGTCAGACTGCAATGGCTCCTTTTTAATGTGGCCTTTATGGCACTCCCACCACAGTGTGGGATCCGAGCCAGGCGTTGGCGGCACGCCAAGGTGCGGCTTCGGCCGTGCCAGCCTCCAATTCTCTGTTGTGTTGGTTGAAATCCTGGTTATTGCTGTGTGGACCAGGGGGTGTGGTGGAACGCCAAGGTGAGGATCCGTCCGAGCCATCCACCTGCGGCCTCCCTCGTCTCCGGTCTTCTTGACTCTGTCTTGACACCGGGCCCAGGCGGGGGAGGAGAAGAGAGTGTAGGTAGATGCAACGCAAGTCTACTGGCACTATAAACCCCTGCGCAAGTCACCGTCCCTGCTCCAACCTGCTGTGGGGCACACGGTGGACATCATCGAAATCGATGGTCGAACTGTCAGGGTTTTCAGAGGCTTTGCCTACTATCCTTACCAAATAAGCTAAAATTGAAACTGAAGCTCGATTCATGTGCGCAACTGCCGCTTGAACATCAATTCTGCAGGCGAAGCACCGGTGGAATCGTTTGGTGTTATGGGATAGCTGAAAAAAAGCGTGACAACTTCGTGGCTAAGTCCGCTTCCGTCCATTCGGTTAGTCCGCGCTTTATTGTCTGAACTGCGCACTTTGCGAGGTCATTAGAAGCAACGTGGTACAGGGAGATGGTTAGATGCCTCATTCCATTTTCCTCCATGGATTCCTTAAATTCTGCGCCAGTAAAGGCCAGGCCACCGTCTGAAACGACCATTTAAGGCATTCCAACAGTAGAAAAAACGGTTCGCAACTTGTTGATTGTAGTAAGTGAAGAACAGGAGTTTCCTGTCGGAATCACATCAATTCATTCAATGTGGGCATCAACCGCCACCAAGCCCATATGACGTGTACCTCTTCCACGGCGAGTGGGGCCAAACCCAAGGCTTCGGATGCACCTTCAGTAAGGTCTTCTGTGTTATTTGACACACGTGAGATGCTTTCGTCACACTTCCGATATCTGCGCCAATTTTGGGTCACCAAACATAGCTGCGGAAGAGAGCTTTCATTCTAACTGTACCAGGATTAGCATTATGCAGGCCTCTGAGGATGGTCCGTCGGCCTTGTGGTGGTCCAACTACACGAATGCCCCACAGTAAGCATCCGTCTTGTAGACTCAGCTCGTTCTGACGGCTGAAAAATGGCTGAAAATCAGGGGAGGTAGAGGACAGCCAGGCAGATTAAAAGGGTCTTTTTACCCGACTTAAAAGAGGTTCTCTCGATGTTCACTGTCTAGTTTGTTGGCAGGTTACAGGTGCGTTGACTAGGTTCTGAAAAATATTCACGGGTTCAAAAAACAGGTGCCCGGGTAACGCCATCGTCTACAATGGGAAGCCTACTCAAGACATCAGCCACTACGTTTTCACTACCCATTACGTATTTCATTGAATAGGTGTGAGCGGAGAGAGTGAGTGCCCATCGTTGCATTCTCGGCAAGGACATCTGTTGTCTCCCTCGTCTTTCATTCACGAAACCTAAGAGGGGTTTGTGATCAGTGTGAATCTCGAAGGGTCGGTCAAAAAGATACAGGTAGAGGCGATGTAGGCCACACATTATTGTGAAGGCCTCTTTATCTCGCTGCAATTAATTGGTTTTCGCCTGGGACATGGTTCTTGATGCAAAGGCAATCAGCACCTCCACATCAGACGTTATTCAGTACATAAGAACCGCACCTACGCTGTACGGAGGCGCATCAGATTTCTGTATGATAGGCTTTGCGGGGTCATGATGAACCAGGACAGATGAGGAGATGAGAGCCATCTTTGCCTATTCGAAAGCACTTTGTTCGACCTCCGACCAGTTCCAGCAACGATCCTTTGCAAGTAGCCGACTGATCCACAAGGCGACTGAAGTGGGTAACCAACCCAGGGAATGAACGCAATTGGCTAGTATTGTTGGGGCGGGGCGCCGTCTTCAAGGCTTTGAGCTTATGTCTGGGTGAATGGAGGTCAGTTTTATCCACCATGAAGCCCAGGTATTTCATCGAGTTGGCAAGGAAAGTACACTTATCTTGAGTTTAAAACCTGGTCTTCTACACGTCCTAAAATGATGTTTAGAGTCTCTAGATGACTATGTTTAGATGGGCCGGTGACTAATATATCGTCAGGATATGCGCAAACGAGAGGTATCTCCTTCAAGATGTTGTCAATCAAGTATTGATCAAACCGGAGCAGAACTTACTCAAATTCGTAGTCTTTTGTATCGAAACAAACCCCGATGCGTATTGATGGTGGTGGCATCTCAGAATTCAGTATCTAGGACGACTTGGCTGTAAGCATTCTTCAAGTCTAAATTGTAAATTACTGACCACCTGAGAGGGATGCGTACGGACCCTCGATGCGCGGGAGAGGATAAGGGTTCAGTATAATTGCTGAGTTGATTGTCAGCCTTTAGTCGCCACAGATACGTACAAAAACGTCGGATCTAAGAACAGGAACTATTGGGGTTTCTCATTCCAAATATTGCACGGACTCGATAATATCCGCTTTCTGTAGGCGATCCAGAACTGGACGAGCTTTGAAGAACCAAGGCCGAAAATATGATTGGAGCTGGAACTCAACAGGCGGACCGCGGTAGTGAGTAACAGAATCGTCACGAAATAGTTCCTTATGATTGACCAAAATGGAGTCTAAAGCCGGAGTTACACCAATTCGATGTACATAGGACAGCACAGTAGGCACACATCTAATCGGGGTCTGTCCGAGGAGATTTGGTTGCTAGCTTCCTCTCACCACGTGAACCGGCCAGTAATGAAGTCCCCCCTCTTCGTTCTGTCCAGGGTAACTACGGAAAGTGGAACTAGCTGGAAGAATGGGGGGGGGGGTAATTTCTGGAGAGAGGCCTCACTGATGAAGTAACATCTGAACCAGTGTCGATTTCCAACTTCGCGGAATGACGGTCGACCGGAAGCGTGGTGGTTTAGGGCGATTGGAGTGGGACGTTGGCCAAAAGCATTCGGTGTATCGTCTCGTCATCCCTAGCTGGATTAGGGTAGATGGCATAAATGTTAGTGTTCGCCCCTGTCTTGGAGAAACACACTCGTTTGATGTGACCGATTTTCTTGCCAAACCGACAGACCGTCTTCTGGTGTCTACAGTCTGACCAACGGATATGATGCTGACCACAACGGTAGCAGGACAGTAGTTGTTTTGAGGGAGCTGATGGGTGATGTTTAGATGAACACCCAGCAGTGTTGACCAGAGAAACAGACACTTCAGGTTCCAAGGATGATATCAGTCCATCGTTTGACTGATTCAGCTGCTGAAGGTTTTGCCGTACGCGCTCCTGATGACTGGCGATATCACATGCTTTCTCCCATGATGAATCCCTCTTCTCCGATAAGAGATTTTTCCGAACCTTCTCATCGCACAGACCAACGATCACCTGCTGAATGGGCATTGCATGCTCGACGTTGTCTGCCTTGATCCTTTTATAACAACAGTCCTGGATGGCCAGAGTCAGATTTGTAATAAGATCACCGATGCACTGACTGGATTCTTGACGCATTTGACAAAACTGATAGCGACTGACGAAGACGTTGTCTTTTCCTCCCCACGCTACCTCGAGCTTTGTGAAGGCTGTTTGGAGAGCAGCAGCCTTATGTAAAGTAAGAGGGTCGAAATACTGTTGTCCCAACTCTCCGAGATTCCTTCGGAGGAGTTTCGATTTAGAGGAAACGTCTATTGGAATAATGGGTGACAAAATCGGAAGTAGTTTGATGTAATCCTCAAGTCTCTTTCTCCATTGCAACCACGAGTCATTTGAGGGTTTCGGAGCGTTTTGCGGCCAGAAAGTTAATTGTGTAAGCAGCAATGAAGCCATGTTCATTGAGCTGCATCACCATGTTATGTTTGCAAAACAGAAGTCTAGTTGTAGACAGAACGTGTACTTAGTATGGGAGACAACACAAGTAGAGAACCTTGTCGAAATGGCTGGTTATATGGCAGGGGGCGGGGGGGGGGAATGTCATGGGCTGAAGTGTAGCCAATTAGCACCAAGGTTGTCTGAACGGGGGTACACAACCCTGGTCGCGCGCATGTGGTGTGATGCCTAGACAGTCCGGGCAGCATACTCTGCAGTCATCCTCGTGGGGTGAGACAGGACTGACAATAAGCGTGTTCGTGGATGGAGAAGGTGATGTTGCCGGGTTGTTGTTGCATTGTGTCGAAAGGTGCCCGGCAAAGCCGATTCGCGCGTGGAATGTGCGTTGGCAATGCGAGAATGATGAAAGCGGTTGGCTGTTAATGTTGAGGGTCCGAAACGTTTATAACTTGTGAGCGGTGTTCTCAGTTTTCACAGCGGCGATACAGTTTGCTTTTTGGATTGCTGCGCCAGTCTCCACTGCCCATCTCCAGGCTGGTCTGTCCTGGGCGAGGTCCTCCCAGGTCTCCGTGTTGATCTGTAGTGGCTTCAGAGAGTTCTTCAGAGTGTCCTTGTAGCATCGTTTTTGACCTGCCTGTCGGCGAGCACCCGCAGCAACATATCCACAATAGAGTTGTTTGGGCAACGTTCGTCGTCCATCCCCACCAGATGGTTGCTCCATCGCAGCTACAGTTGCCTCAGCATGACGTTGATACTGAATCTGCCGGTCCTTTGTAGGACTTCCGTGTCCGGGATCCTGTTCTGCCATCTCGGCTTCAGTATTCTGCGAGGGTGACTGAGATAAGAAGTGACTCAACTTCCTGGTCTTGCTGGAGTACACTGTCCAGGTCTCCGTTCCATATAGAATTGACGTCAAGACTACAGCCTTGTACATCTTCAGTTTGGTGTTCAGCTGAAGGCCGTTGCGATTCCAAATGGAGGCTTATAGCCGGCTGAAGGCCTGACCGACTTTGGAGATCCGATGACAACCCCATCGTCGATTATTGTGCTGCTTGAGAATGTACTTCATAGATAAACGAAGTTGTCCACGGCTTTAAGCTGGCTGCTGTTGACATTGTTTCGAGGAGTGCTGTATTCCATCTGGGGTGACGGTTGATCCATGACCGCGGTTTTGTCCACGTTGACAGTCCAGCTGAAGTTGACACATCCAGCGACGAAGGGGTCCATGCTCCGTCGCATGTCCTCTTCGACTGTGGTGCTGAGTGCGTAGTTGTCCGCGAAGTGCATATCGTGGACTGTAGGAGATAGCCACGCTCTGCCTTTGAGCGGCCTCTAGAGAAGAAGATGCAGCCGGCGCCCGCCTCCTCTAGTCGGCCTTGTCCTGGGAAGCGACTATCGCTGAGGGCAGCGATGTGCACATTGTGGCGCGCCATTTCGCAAACGACTAGTGCCGTCCTCCATTCCGGTCAGTCGTTCCTCAGATCGTCTAAAGGAGAACGAACATTCGGGGCTGCCAGATTAAGCGGACTCACTTTAGCAGCCTGTGCGGTACGTAAGTAGGGGGTGAGGACGGGGATCGTTGTTGTTTCCTTGAGTGCTCTGATCGCGAGTTTTGCATCTACGTGATTTCCCAGCATTAATTCAAGGCACCTTTTCTAGCCGCTTGCCCGTCAAGGGGTAAGCAGCTATTTACTGTGTCTAGCATCCATTAACTGGGATGTAACTATCAGACATGGCTCTCCGGAGCTAGGCTCTGCCTGGCGGCCATGTCCTGGCAACTGTCTCGACTGAGAGGCTAAACCAGATGAGGGTATATGATGTTGTGAATTTCCCCACATTCGGTAGCTCTGCCTCCCTTCCCACACCTCAAAAAGTCCTACAGAGAGGTCGACATGCAATGCCGTAGACGACCCAGGCTAGTTCGGGTCGTTCTCCCACTAAATAAAGTCCTGACCCGTTGTGGAGTTTGGTAGCCGTTTGGGACGTCTTAGCAGCCCTATTTAGGTATAACACTGCTTATTTCCTAAAATCCACACATAGCCTCGTAATTTCAAAACGTATAGTCAATTTACATCGGCTCAGATCTCACTAGTCATTACTAGCTGTGTTCAATCAAGTAGTTGGGCAAAATTTTGCTAAACTTTACAGGTGCCCTTGACTATTGCTATTAGCATTATCCTCAATTCCCTGATTACTCGAGGTCGGAAGACCCGACACTACCATATAACAAATCTGCATCATATTAGTAGTGTCAGTATGCCCATATTTATCGCATTCTACGCCATAAAAATTCCTTTCTGTATGAAACCTCGCAAGTAATTATTTTCAACCTCGCTCACAGGGCCGAGGAACGTGGAAACAGCGGACGAACAAACGCGACGACACTTATGTCTCCACCATCAAACGTCCATATAACTATCACCTTATGGATCGTTCATACGTGAGGCCCATTGGTTGCAAACCACTTCCATTTCGCATCCATGCTCACAAGTTTCTACGCCTTTGACTACTTTTGATTCTTGATCATGGCATATTTTTACTCAAAATAAAACTCTTATTCAGCTTATATTTTGTAAACTACGTTAAGGATCCAGCTGCCTAAAATTAGGGATTTCACTGCCTGCGTTTAGACTCAAGAACAAAGTTGGCGCTTCATAATTCTTCTGCCCTCATTTTAATGAATGAAAAGGATCCATTTAGAGACAGATTTCAGTCTACAAGTGCAACATGGGCTGTAAAGATTGAAGCTATCTAGAAAATATATCTTGGCAATGTCCCTTACTGACTATATCGTCATTCGTTGAGAGTAGTCGTAGTTTATGCTTGCGGAAATAGCCCACGGCCTCTAATGCGTCTTTGCTGGTACCTGTTAAATTTATTCTAGGTTAAAAGTAAATGCGTACTGTTTTTATTACAATTCGTGACCTATCTGATGAAGGGCCACGAACTGTGGACTTAAATCGCTGTAACGCACGAAACGCCCACCCCGCATCCACGAACGTTATACTGCGTTAAAGGTACGACCGAGCTTTAAAATAATGCACAGTTTGATTTATAAAGTATTATTTATTGACTAAGACGGAGACGTCAAAATATGCCAAATTTCGGTTCGTTTACCCTCAATAAAACCGAACTGACATGACCTCTTCTTTAGAAAAGGGCTTTTCGGGATTCCAATCAATTCTAAAAACAAGAATAACAACACAAAATATATGCCGTCCCACCAACTCAAATACCGATCTCGACATTTTATGAGTTAGGTCATCTACTGTATGCGCTTTGGTTAGACACATTGTACTTGTGCTTCTTCTGTAGAATAATCCATACCTACTCTACCACCACAGTTCCCGTATTTTTTATGACGATTTGGCTTAAGTGCTGGGACCTTCCCCATCGGAAACATGCACTTTAATTAAGAAAGTAGGTCTAAAAATACCCAACACCTGCCCATAGAGGAAGATATTCGGTGGAAAAACGCCATCAATTCGCCAAAATCTGGACATTGAAGTTTCTAGCCCAGAAAGCTGTATTCCGTACTCCCTGCCAAATTTAAAGTCAACAAGCAGAAATTGAGCCGCTAGAGGTTATGTCCACCAAGCTGTGTGCGGACAGGAGCATGACCTGTTTTTTAGGCTGGTTTCTAATCCACGGTAGATGGTCAAAGTGGAGACGCTTCTTAATTTCCTCAGAAATTATCTACGAACTTGGAGTAGATCAATTTATTCAATTTATTCAGACCGAAAAGTTTATGTATGACTATTTGGGCAAAAATCCATCAATCACAGCGGGTAACCGCGTAATATTCATTGACTGCCGATAGGCCGCTAGTAGTATACTCTAGGAAAAGGTGATACCATACTAACAGCCCAGGTACTAACCAAAAGCCCATACACGCGTGTTTCTAGGATATTCTGAGGAAATTAAAAAGCGACAATTTCTAAATTGGAGTATCTACCAGAAAACAGACGAGGAATGCTGGAGGACCCACTGAGGAGCCGAACTCCTCGCAGCTGCGTCATGCAGCCGCAGAATATTGGCAAAACACGCGTATATGGGCTTTTGGCCAGTACCTGTGCTGTTAGTATGGTATCATCTCACCCTAAATTTGAGGCTGTCAATAGCCAACTGTGAATGAAACACCACTTACGTAGCCCTTTTGGTAGATTTTGTTTCTTCACTTGTCCGAACACAGCTATACTTCTTTGTTTGAATCTTTTAAACAAATTACTTACTGCCTTTTCAAAAGTCGTTTCCTGAGCGCGAACACAGTTTATAACTTGAAAAAGACCTTAACCTTTAAAGTTGACTATTCTCCATTGAAATCTTTTAATTTTTAAAACCTATCACTATTCCCTTTCCGTTATTTTCTGGCAAGTACAAATGATCTTACTTCTTTGATAAGCAGAGGGCTAAAGCAGATTTCAGCTGTTAAACCTGACATAGCCTACAATGTAGTGTGTTAACGGCAAAATACGTATAATTCCCTCGTAAGAATTTTATTTTTTGTAGAAAACTACTAAACATCGACCATGACTTTTGGGATATGTAATCTTCACCCATTACCTCAAAAATATCCTTGAAAACATCGGCAAAAGTTGAGTAAATCTATAAAAAGTTGAGGACCGCATCAGTTGTATCGTTGAAAGACACGTTGTCTTTGAAACATAAAAAAAGTCGAAGGTAATTAGGGTCCGTCAATTTGTCAAACTGTGCGCATCTGTCCTTCAATTGGACTTCTATATAACACGGTCTCTAGAGTTAAATGTCTTGTTCTTTGCTAAAAGTAAAATGTAGCCAGGTACTATGTCCCGTTGACACAGGGTACGGCTATATTTGAGAATATATAGTGCGTAGCTTCTTACTAAGAGCTTCCAATAGAAGTATTGATTCCTTCTGTTCTGATTAGGGCATGTGTTTTCGTTTAACTTATCTACAATCAACATTTAAGTTTTCCAAGTGTCTCATGTCGTCCCCACTAATTGGCGGAGCTGAAAATAACCGCACGTCCTTGCAAATCGATATGCAGGCTAGACACGAAAACGGAGATTTCAAAAGAGAGGGGTGCGGATATGATTCCATAAAAGTGGTAGCAGGTAAGTCACTCTTTATACGCTAAAGTAATACGATTTAAGTTCACAGGGGATGGAATATTGTAATGCCCGCAAACGCCTCCGGTCTGAAAATGTCTGCATGGAAAAATTCAAGGTTAAATGAGGAAATAAGTACCCCGCCCGAACTATATTCCAATAGTGTCTACGACAATAATTACCTGCTGCCGTAGCAAGACAAACCGAAAACGGACTGAAGCCTGGGTCTCGGGTGAGAACTCAGTCGATCGATGTATCGATCTGGCGCGGGCACGCAGAGACCTGCTCAGTCACCTCAAGAGCTGCGATAATAGTAGCTGACCAGATAATACCTCCTATAACTGTCGTTTGTTTTGTTGCCGCGGTCATCTCTGACGGTGGACTACTACTTGAATTTAAAAGCGAGGGAACATGATTTAAAGGACTTATCCTACAAAAGACCAACCGATGATGGCACCCACCTTTGATTGAATAAAATTGCCCCTGTTTTTCAATAAGAAAGCTGTAGAGATTATTTAACTAACGCGTGTCTTCGGTGATTTAAGCTCTAAAAGGTTTTATCGACATAAAAAAACCATACAGTTCTTTCTATATGGATGTAAAATGGATTAACTTTGGTTATAAAGAGCGGAAGGCATAAATTAAAACAGTCGTCTGTTACCGTTATGCTGTTTCATAAAGAATGAAGGCGAAATTTCGAGTTCCAGTTGTATGCATAAGTGAAGAAGAAGAATCGAGCACCAGAGCACTTTGTTTGTAGGAAGGCAACGAACACCACACACCTCACTTTTCACAGCAACCATCCGGCGGCTCACAAGCGAAGCTGTATGAAGACGCTCTTCAAACG